AACAGGATCCTTTTCCATCTATACAGTTTATCAAGGGCATGAAATTATGTTCCATGTTTCAACCATGCTACCATACTCTAGAGAGAACAAGCAGCAGGTACATGATTTTCATTTTTTGTATTATTGTTTAGTAAATTGAAAACTCCAAAACTCTCTTAAATAAAATAGGGACTTTTTTGCTTGTTTATATTTTAGAAATGTAAGACTCGAGACTTTCGCTGTTTTTTTTTTTTTTTCTCAAAATCATGCCTGATGCTGGGAATTTTCTAATGTTTGTTATGAAGGTACTGCATCACATCCTCTCTATTATGGTAGAAAAGACACTTGGGAAGAATATAAATATTGATTTATTTAAAACTGATCAAATATTTTATTATTCTGATGACTTATAGAATTCTGCTGCAAATATCATTGCCTCAAAGAATTTAGGAAGGTTGGAAGTTAGACTTACATATGAATAGTCAGAATATTCACATACATAACATACAACTCGTAATCAGTCGTTAATGTAGCTGGAAAGAGATTTCCCTTGTGAGCATGTAAATAACTATGGCAAGCTTTGTGTATTCCCTCTGAAGCACTGCTGTTGCCCTCTCATAGATAAAGAACTAGGTGAGTACTTGGGTACTTGTACAAAGATGCTCTTGTCCGTTGCTTGAAACTTTCTATGTATTGTAAGAAAACAATATATACGTTTTATAAGCATATGCATTTACCTGTACGTTTACCTGTACATCAGACATCCATAGTGATTTATCTGAAAGTATTTGCAAATTGCCTGTTTAATTGTTTTCTTTTTTAAGCAATAGTTATATATTAGAATGATGTAATTAGATGATATAAATCATTTTGATATCTTTTTTAAATTTCCGTGTCATTTTTTTCATGGTTTTGCCTTGGATTGATAACAAGATCGCAGCAGAAACTGGAGGCCGATCAGGAGGTTTATTCTTTTTATATAGTGACACCACATCAGGGTTTTTGCCCTTTTTATTTCACGTGGTGGATTTGCTTTTTTTGAAATAATTAGGTGTTCCATGCCCAACTCATTAATATTAATGTTTGCAAGTTATCAATGTTTTGCCAACTTTAAAATATGGAATAGCTGCTGTTTTAACAGCTGCCTTATATGTGCAACATACAACACCCATCTTTAGTGCCATGCCATTGGTATGTTTACTTGGTTATAGCTAAATAATAATTTTATATTGGCTTCAATCATATTGACCATACTTTCTCTTAAGATTTTCATTTCTCTTACCAGCTGTGTATGCAGTTTAGGAATGTTGTATTTCATCGTTCTCTCACAGAATTGTGAAGGCATTGATCTCATTCAGGTCATTGTGTTTGTCCTTCTTTCAGGTAGAAAGGAAGAGACATATTGGAAATGACATTGTCACTATCGTGTTTCAGGAAGGAGAAGAGTCTTCTCCAGCCTTCAAGCCATCCATGATTCGCTCTCATTTTACACGTATCTTTTTCTTTATATTTTCTTGTGGGTGTTCTTTTTTAAGGATAATATTACTTTTGATCCTCCTCTAACTCCTCCTGTGTGCTATTTATGAAAGGGAAGATTATCTTCTAAAGACAGTTGCATTCTTTACCTTTGGCTGCTTGATTAGGAATCTCTTAGTCTGCCATGTAAACATTTTTTACCTTGATCCACTCACAAGAGTAGAGAGTTAAAACAGGAATATGATTTTAAATCTTATTTTTATTACAGACACTTTTTTGGATCCTTTTACACATCAAATTTCATACATTCCATAAAATAAAAATTCAGAAAATATTTCAGTTAAGATTGTGTATTAATTTTGCATTAACTACTGAATGTTGCCTCTTAATATTTAGTTATTTATTTATTTTAGTTCAGTTGTTCTCAAATCTTTCAGACAGTAAACCATCTATCCTAAAAATTTATCACCGCCTGTCTTTCTCAAACTTTCCATTGAGAATATTGTGAAGACAGTGTAGTTCCAAAAACCCACAGCCAGTCACTTGGGACCACTTATCACAGGATCACACCGGTGGCCCATAGATTACAATCTAGGATCTCTTAGTCTAGATGGAAGGAGATATGCAACTAAAGAAGAAGCAGCTGATCTTTATCCATGCTCTGTTGCTGGGATTTTAAAAATGATCACAAAGCTTATGACTTCTAAACCTAATTCTCATGCTGACTACTTACTATTGTTAGAACTTTCCTGCTAACTTCAGCCATGGCTTGTCTTACCTGTTACATTTAAACTCGTAATAAAAGGAAAAAGCTTCTAGAATTAAAAAAAAAAAAAAAACACGTAAAAATCTAGCTATTACAGCAACATAAATCTTGTTGTTAAGAGGTGTTTACTGTGTCAATGTACCTCTTTACCTGAGTATCAGCATTAGTAAAAACAGAATAATTCTTTTTGTATTGCTGTTGGGAGGACTAGTTATAATGCAATTTATGCATCACACTCTTTTGGATTTTAACAAACATTTCAAGTTTCAAAAGCCTCACCAAGCGAGCGTGGGGTGTCTGATGTCAATTTGTCTTCTGCAATACTGACATCTCCTGTTATCCGCTTGCCTCTTGATCTTTAGTGATAGATGTGGGCTAAGGCTTTTTACACGCTGAGGTGGTAAACTAAGCCACAGCTATCTTCCTTTATCCTGTTAACAAAGATCCTGACCAAACCTAGGAGAAAACCTTTTTAAAAGACAGAGAGGTACTTGACTGTTAATGTGGTGCCTCTGCACAAAGGAGGTAGTTCTCCACAGCTTTACTTGTTTTTTGTTAGTGTGAGTTTGGGGACAGGAGTGGGGGGTGTTAAAGAAACTGAGGAGCTCCGTGTCGGTGTTCTAACATCATTCTATAACTTGGAAATGCTTTTGAGCTAGTATGAAGAGTCACATGATTGCCACATATGCATAGCAAGAAAGTGTCTGGAGCCCTGACCTTACACTCTGAATCCGTGAGGCAGCGATTTGTTGGAAGCTTTTTTTTGTCATTTAAGAAACTTCTTGAGATTAGTGCAGAATGAAGGAGCTGATGCACTGAAAACGCTCTGCAGAACACTCCAATGGTGAGGTGCTAATCTGGTCCTGGATACCTTTCTGAAGTCAGACCTGTTTGAGAGGACTTTACTTTCCTTCAGGGACGTGACTGTCCTATTGAGTAGGAGCCTTATTCAGAAAAGTACCCAGCATCTGCTATTTCAGGGAATTGCTCTCCTTTATCTGAATCAAGTTCTTGCTTTCATAGTGAGTTGGAGGGGCATATGTTCCCTAAATCCATGAGGACTTGTGATCGCTTAGGTCATTGCAAGTAAACCACAGCTGGTCCATGGAGTTATATCACCTTCCTGATGTTTTCAGTTAAGTGTAGCCAGGGAAAAACGTGTCCCCGAGAAATCCTGAGAGTTGACAGTGGTCAGTGTCAAATATGGTTTTAGCAGTGCTTTCTACTCACTTTCTTGCATACTCTAGCACCCCTTTTTATTATTTTTGCAGTAGGAAAAATTAAATTTGCAGCTATCTCAAAATTAGAATCAACGGAGAGAATTTTTGTCACAAGTACAAAACTACATGGTATACCTTATGTTTCCCATAGTGGCTAGAAATTTGTATTTGTGCTGATAGCTCTTTTTTTAAATTGTTGTTCAAACACAGTAAAATTTTGTGTGAGACCTCCTTTACAATAGTAGAATGTGTGTAGTGTATAATATTTTATGTCTTTACATTGATTCATATGTTTCACCATTTTTGAATCTGCTTTTGCTGCAGAAAAAAATATTAAAATACAAATGAGCTTCATTAGTACTGGATTAATTTCCTTAACTAGAGTGGCAGATATTTTTGCCTTGGTGAGATATAATAAGCAGAATGATAGTTACAGGTAGGTGCTGATCGCAACAAATTTCTTCACATTGAATTGGGGCTAATGGGGCAGAGGTAATGGGTAAACATTTGGTATTGTCCACCCGTCTGTACGCCGGGAAGGAAAAGAAATTTTAAAATTGAAGGGTAAAGTAGACCTGGATGCAGATGGCTGTAAACTGGTTTTAAATTATATTTTTCTAACCATCAGAGCAATGACATTCTGGAATAGATTTGAGTTGGCAAAACAAAACTACTTTTTAGGTAAAGCGTAACAAAACGATGGAAGATATGTCTGCAAGGTTCTGACCTGATGATGTCAACAAGACATAGTGAGCTGCATATATGATGAAGTTAATTAGATGTGATGTTGTGATAGCCAAGGCCTAGATCCTAACACGTCTATGTTCAGTTGTAGTTAAGCAAACCAGTTCATTTTTAGTGATCTTAAATTGAGTAGCAGATGTACATTTGGACATTGTGTACCTAAAACCCAGTGAAGCTTTACTGGTTAATAATGTGTTCTTCATTGGTTTCTCAGTTAGCTGTGGGATGCTCACACATGGAGGCATGTGCTGCCCAAACCTGAGTCTGTTTGGTCTCACCAGATTCTGAACAGCAAGCATTTCTGCGGCCTAGTGCCCAGGCTTTAATGCACAATGTGGCTTTTGCCACATAGTTCATCCCAATTGTTGATTTGAGATTAATGGTGAGATGTCAGAGATGTCTATCAGTCTGGAAAGAGCAGAATGTCAGCAGGGTGGCATTGCTTGTGCACATGGAGGGGTTTCAACTTGGGCTTGACCCAAATAAGTAGTAACAAGAACTAAAAAGGCCACCCTATGGTGACCCTATGGTGGCCACCCGTGGCACAATGAGTGCTACGGTTCTCAGTATAGGACACAGACTTACCATTGTTATTTCTGCTTTACAAAGTACCACTAACGCCTAGAGTAATCCCTCTTCTATTGGAAGTATGCTAAATCATTTACTACTTAAACTAGGGCCCCCTCCCCTCCTCAAAAAAGAGAGGATTGCTTTCACATTCAGGTAGACCTCTAAGGACAGGATTGGCCAGGTTTGAAATCACTGCCAACTCAGATGTTAAATTCTCTGATGGCTAAAGAATTTGCATTAAGAAACCAAATTGTTTGGTTTATGCAGCACTAGACAGGAAAATTTGAAGCATGAAACTAAAATTATGCCTTAAACTTGGAAAATCTGCATATCAGTACTACACTAAATCAAAAATAAAAACTTGGGAAGATGGAAGGGGAAGTCAGTCTGTTAGGCTCTGGGATGCGTATTCCTAGTGACTGTGTGAGCCTGCACAGCTGAAGTTACTTTTAGCAAAATTTTAAACTGTTTGCAAGTCATTATAACCCACATTTGCAGGACCAGGCTGGATATTAGGCGTGTTTGATCTGCTCCTTTGAGGTAAACTTATAGTTTGTAGTGAAAAGAAAGGAACTGTGCACAGTGTAGTCTTGGAAATGGCTTCTGGGAATATAGGGCCCTTAAGTAGGTTGGTTTTGCTTCCTCCTTCCTTGATGATTACATGACTTTGAGGACTCAGGCAGATTGTGAAAGAGACCAGCAATATCCCTTGCACTGATCACCTGATACTAGTGCTTTCTTGGACAAGCTGTGTCATTCTGATGGCTAAGTATTATAGTACAAGTGTTGAAGGTATTCTTTCAGCCTCTCCTTCAAAGCACAATACAGAAAAGTGGTACCAGCCATGCTCCATGGTTTCAGAAGTTGCTGCTCAGATCTGATCGCTTGGTTCCAGTCATTCCAACTTTTGTAAATTTTGGCTTGCTTTGGAGTTTTTTTATACTTCACACATTGAGCTATCTTCATGGTCATCTAAGAATCTGTTCTTGCTGCAGTACAGGTTAACGTATGTTGATTATCTTTTAATCAACATTAATTACGTTGATTTTTATCAACGTGTGTTGATAAACCTTCTTGCCTAGCTCCAAAACTTGATCATTATCAGTAAAAGTCTGGTGCTTCTTGTGCAGCTGAACTGCAATTTCAACTACTTACACAGTGCATTTCTGAAGTTTACTTGAAATCATCTACGGTGCAAATGTGGAAATGCACAAGAATGTGGAGAGGAGAAGAAAGTGGATTATTATTAATTGTATTTCTTCAGGAGAGGTTGCTCATATATACATGTGATTTCTTCTGTCTTACCTTTTTTTTCTTGAGTCCCTTAATATTAGGGCATCTCTATTTTGGGGCATGCTGGAAGAGAAGGTTCAGGCTATCCTTCTTACTCTTGATGTAGAGTATAAGAGAGAAAGCATGTGTATGCCAAATACAAAAGAGCTGAAAGTCTACAAACTTGAGTGCCTGAGATATATCTATATCCACAGAGGGGATATGTGTGAATAAGTACATCTCACAGGAATTTTTCACTAGAAATAACTTTATTTTTTTTTAATATAGCTAAGCAGAAAATTAAATCTTGATTCATGAGAGCAATACATATTATTATTTGTTCAGTATCCCATTAAATCTAGCCCAAGGGAAGAATCCAGAGCTGTGACTGTTACACTGCATGATACTTCAATTCTTTTTTTTTTTTTTTTCTTCACATTTATATCTAAGGCTTGTTTGGGGAAATGTTTGTACTGCAGTTTAAAAAGCCTTAAGATTGCCTTAAGATTTTGTGAGTACCTCGTTGCATTTTTTTCTTAATTAATTGTCGTCATGTTTGCTTTTCATAAACTACCATCTGAAGTTTGTGAGAGGCACAGAGCATGCTCAGGATTCCAGTTTGCGGTGTTTTTTCTCGTCTTCCTGCCCTGGGATAGAAACGTGGGCATCCATCCCTATTTAGCCTTTTAGAAGTTAGAGCTATTGTTCTAATTGTAAGCTAATAGTTGCTAGATAAGCTAGTCAAGGTCGATGTTTTTAAAGTTACTTTTTATTTGGAAAAGAGTGTAGCAATAAACGGGATAAAGTTACCTCTCTTGCATTAAATAACTGACTTTTATTACTAGATCAGTCAGGCTTATTCCTTAGTTGCTTCATTCGGCCGGTGTTAACACATTATCCCATAGTGCACACCACACAGTATTTTTGCCTAGTATGATATGCTTCACTACAGGATTGATCAATTCTTTTTTGGGTTTTTTGTTTTCTTTCCAGATATGCAGTCTCCACATTGGGGCCTCAGTGTACTTCAGCTTGGCTTAATAACATTTCTGTGCCCATCACCTCAGGCCTGTGGGCCTCCTGTTTCTTCTGTCACTTTTCCATGAAGACAATCTTCCAAGTGGCCAAAATCTCAGACAGGAGAAATAGGAGATATTCTAGGCCTTTCAGACAAGTTTTCCTTGTTTCATAGGCAATGTCACTGTGAGGTCTGACCCTGAATTTCTGCTTAGAATGACTTTAATTTTACATTAATAAAGACATCTATTGTTTGATTTGGTTTGGTTGTGTTTTTCCCCTTCCAATTCATTCTGCACTAGCCAAGGAACATTTCACGTCTTGGGTAGGGATAAATGACCGCTTTTTAGCTGGATTGAATAAGATGGATATAGGGCATCTCTGAGATTGTATCTTGAATCTGTGAAACAGGTACTAGGATGATCAGTATTCCTGCAGCAACTGAAATGTAGTACTGCATTTCAGATTGTATATGCAGCTTTCATGAAAAAAGACCAGATGAATACATTAGAATCCATTTGACCCAAGACCAGGCAACCTCTACTGCTTTTTTGAACAAGCAAATTCTGACTAGTTTGTATAACAGTGAAGTGGGATTGTATGTATGGTTTTACCACTCACCTTGCTGTGACCTGTATCAGCTGCGTATGCTGCTTAGATGATCTTTGTCTGACTGTTAGCTTATAGTGAAGAAAATTATGTAGGCTATTACTTGAAAAGTCAAAGAAAGATTGCTTTCCGTAAAGAAGCTATGGTTTGCTGAGCATGTTGTATGCACAGCTTTGGTACCTGCTGTTCATTCTTGCTGTGCTGGATTCTTTATGGTTTGAAAAAGCTCAACAGGTTCAACTGTCATGTAAGCCATTCTGACTCTGACTTCCTCAGCAAAAGTGAATTCGCTGTTCCCGAGATACAGGTTCAGCTGCAGTAGCCATCATTATTCAGAAAGAACCAAATCTTTCGTGCGTGTGGTGAAGGCATAGGAAAGATGGAAATCTGCCAGAAGAACACATTTTGTGGGTAAAGAACTGTTTTTTTACAGCTTAGTTTATTTGAAAAGGACTGGATTTTGCCAATACCAGTAAGGGCATTGTTCTGTGAGTAGAATTACAAAGTTCTGTTGTAATTGTTAGTATCCCATTGTTAATTCATGTAACAGACACAGAGCTTTGGTCTGAGTGAATAGTTCTGTGCCCATTTATGAGTTTTTTTTGATATTAGACCCATGGAAGTTCTTACCTAAGGCACGCCCAGATAACAGTTTGCAGTTCCTGCTTCTATTTTGAATAGTGTCTGTTAAAATGGTGGGTTTTGAATGTGACTTTCAATACAAATAAAGAGTTGTTCTTTCAATAGGCTTAAAATATTTTCAGAAGAAAGTGTTCCTCTCTTTGGGCCTCCTCTTCCATCCCCGCCTGTGTTTACAAATCACCAGGAATTCAGGGATTTTGTGTTAGTGAAATGTAAGTCACTTTTTCTTCGGCTAGAAACACTTTTTAAATCAGTGCTCTAATAAATTGAAATTCATAATGCTTAGGATGTGATAAATTATGAACACATTTTCCTGTGTATGCCACAGTTCTGTGCGAATTTTTTTTTTCCTCCAAATCCTTAAGAGTTGGTGGGATGTCAATTCTATCAAACTATTCCAGTCAGGTTGACAAAAAAATGAATTTCTATGCAGTTATGCTTCTCAAGCTGCTAGATCCAAACTGACCTTTGCATTTTCAGAATGCATAGCCATATTTAGCTTTATGTTTGCTTAAGGGACTTGGAGATTTGGAAGAATTTATAAGGTTGTTGGATATATTTAGTAATAAAAGGTGTTAGGTTAACAGCTCGGAAAACGTGGAAAGATGAGCTTTTTTGAATGCATGCTGCATGGGCAATAGTAAGTTTCAGCACCATTAAGAATTTTTTAATTCTGTAGTGATTCAGTTCTAGAGTTACTGATCTTTACTTTACTTACCCTTCTGTATCAGCCAGAAAGAGGTCTTTGGGACCTGATCATGATAATTACAATTAAACATCTGCCCAATGGGAGCTTGTCTGATAACTCATTTCACATACGTTACTAAAAAATGTTTAAATTGGTTTAGTATTTAAATCAGGTAGAAGTCCATGTCTTTAATTTTTGTATCAGTTAGGAGGTTATCAGAGTGACTTGTAGAATTCTACTATTTTTCTTTTTTACCTTTTTAAGCTTCAGGGATTATTATTTACTTAAATATGGGTGAAAAGAAACAAATCTAAATTACTCATGAAAAAACAAGAATTTTTGTACAGACACAGCTTAGAGTCAGTGAAAGGTAGCAAGGACTTCTTAAGTAATTATCTTATTTTCTTACCTTATTTTAGTAATAAATGGGGAAAAAGCCACCTTGGAAACCCCAACATTTGCTCAAAAACGTCAGCGCACTCTGGACATGCTGATTCGCTCTTTATACCAGGACCTGATGCCAGATCTACATAAGGTAAATATAAGTCATGAGTGATCTCTATACCATTGTATACCTTCTCTTGCTCTCGTTAGTACATTGAATGTTCTGTTGCTTAAAAAGACAACCATCGTGATGAGCACTGAATTGCATACGCTAGGCTAAATATTAATTGGCATCTAATTTATTTTACAGTTATATAAAAGTTGTCAGGACGTCCTTTCAGGATAGAATTCTTCATGCATTTAGTTAATAACAGGAGAAGACAATTCTCTGTGGAGAAGCATAACAATGTTATACTTTGTATAATCTTACCTTGAATAAGGGAATAGGAAAGTTAGGCTCTGAAGATTCAGAACAGGTATTAGTCTAGTCACCATAGAAACTGCACTTACTTGTTGTGTTATGTGTAAATTTGGATCATTTTTACCCTTGGGTAGCCATGAGATAACTTCATTCTAGAACAAGAAAGACATTCTCCTGAGGTGATTCTTAACCAGACAGAGAAGATCAGCACTTCTGAAATTAATGATTTTTTCCCCTTATTTATTTTTCTTAGCTAAATAGGGCTCCTTAAACTTTTTTAAATAAACTTATTAATTTCTGCAGTTTTTATTATAATCTTACAAATGTAACATTGATAAATGCTGACGCATTGGAAAGTAAAGCAGTAAAGGATTGAAGGACTTTGTGATTTCTGTCCTCTGAAAAGCCATGCAGTTAGGTTCATCATGACAGGAAAATACCCCAAAAGGACAGAAAATTTAAGTGATATCAGATTAAATTAACCAAAAAATAAAAGAATATGAAAACTTCTGGTTCAGTTACAAAAAAAAAACAAAAAACTTTCGGATCAGTAAAAAAAAACCACTTTTGATTCAGTAAAAAAAATACTTTTCCTGTTTTAGAACATGCTCAATAGGAGGTCCTTTAGTGATGTGTTACCAGAGTCCCCAAAATCAACACGGAAAAAAGAGGAAGCTCGGCAAGCAGAATTTGTCCGTCTTGGTCAGGTAGGCTCAATTTAGGAAGTATATGTCTATGTCTAGAAAGACTGTGTCACCCATCCTATTATAACTTGGTTAGTGTACAGAGTTATGTCATGGCTTAATGCAATTCTCTCTCGTCAGAAATAGTTCTGTAATATTGCATTAACTTAACCTACATTAAAGTAAAATATGAATAAAAGTGTTTATCTGTAACATCTGAGATAGACAACACAGTTGCAAATATTTTTATAAAATACTTAAATGGAAAGCAATGTTGGAAAAATTGCCCTTTAGGATCAAACCTAAATGGTCTGTCCCTTTTTTGTACAGCAGATGATTTCTGGCTCCAAGCAGAAAAATGTTCTGTCTCTCTGTGCTTTGGAGAGAAGTACTCTTTCATGGAGTTCTTACATAGATTCCATTTAGATTGAATTTCTTAAAACTTACTTACTACTAGCTTAGTCAGGAAGAAGTTTTGACAGTCCTGCTAAGTTGGAGTTTGCCATGCATCTTTGAAGATGAGGATGTTTGAACATGTGAAACACTGCCTCCAGTCTTCTGTGGGCTTATTAATATCTTGATCCAGTGAGGAGTAAAACTTCCTGATGATTCAGATAGCGCAGATTCACAAAACAGGCTGATCAGATCTAACAGTTCATTGCAGCTGAAAAAGGAAATGTCTATGCCTGTCTATGCCCCTGTCCCTCCCCCCTTGTCTCTTCTAGATCCTGGACTGGTTACATGGTTCTGCTGCTTATGTTAAGAATACCTCTTTTTCTTAGCTGATTTAACTTACTAACCTAACAGGAAACTAAACTACAAAAACAAAGAAAAAAACACAACACCCCCAGTCCCCATTTTTCATCCAGATTAATAAACTTAGTTCAATCACAGCAGAGTCTGACAAGTTCCAGATCCAGTAAAAGGTGGCGATTGGAGTCACAGAATCACAGAATCGTTTAGGTTGGAAGGGACCTCTGGAGATCATCTAGTCCAACCTCCCTGCTCAAGCAGGGACCTCTAGAGCATATTGCCCAGGATCACATCCAGACGAGTTTTGAATATCTCCAGGGAAGGAGACTCCACTACCTCTCTGTTCCAATGCTCTGTCACCCTCACAGTGAAGAAGTTTTTTCTCAGGTTTAGGTGGAACTTCCTGTGTTCCAGTTTCTGCCCGTTGCCTCTTGTCCTGTTGCTGGGCACCACGGAGAAGAGACTGGCCTCATCCTCTTGACACTCCCCCTTCAGATACTGGTACACGTTGATGAGATCGCCTCTCAATCTTCTCTTCTCCAGGCTGAACAGGCCCAGCTCTTGCAGTCTTTCTTCCTAGGAGAGGTGCTGCAGCCCTCTAATCATCTTTGTAGCCCTTTCATCTTTGAGTCAGAAGGTTAAGAGCAAGAGAGGGAGAAGCAAGGCCTCCGTCTCTGGTGGCAGTGAGCTGTTGGATTAAGGCTGCAGTTCCATGAGCAGCTGAGCCAAAGTGTGCATTTCAGCTCAAAGTATGCACTGTCTTTGAATCTGTATTTTTGTATGTTCCCAAACTGAAGAACATATTTGATAGAAACATATTTGTAGAATTAGTGCCAGCAGTTCATAACTGCCTCTTAATTGGTACAGCCACCAAACAGCCACTTTACAAAAACAGACCGGGTCTTTGGGGGATTCTGTAACAGTTACTCACTACGAATGAATTTTTCAACAGGCCTTTCAAAGGAAGTTATTTCATAGGACTTTTGATTTCTTTCTTGAATATGTTACTTAACCAATATTGTTGCCTGTTGCAAACAACAGACCTTTGAAGTTGAGGTACTCTCCCTACTGTCCTGTTGCATGCCAGAAATATACTGGATAATGATTGGCAGTGAAGAACATCTCTTCCAAAATATTGTGCTGCACTACCAGCTTAAGATCAGTCTGTGAAAGCTGATACAAAGGAACCTCAGGGCTGTTAAAGCTTGCATTGGCAGAGCTGCAAGGTCTTTTCTTCCATGCTTTGCCCATGCCTCCCCCAACCACCTTGAAATAGCTTGCAACTCTAGACAGACATCAAAATAAGAGTAAATATGTGTTTAATATTCAGAAAGAAGTAACAAATAAATGATTTCCTGGGTTTACCAATTACAGAATTTACACAAATTAAAGAAAACTATGATTAGCTAAAGTACAGAGACCTATAAGCTTGGTTATCCCCCAGTTAAAAGCTGTTAAGATACTCATATAGCAAATGTAACTGGAACAGTTCTTAAACAAGACTTTCATCTTAGGCACAGTCTTCCTCAAAGGGAAACACAGTATGTGGGGTAAACACATAGGGTTATGCTTATTTTTTTCTTGGAGCTTCTCTTCACATTTAAATCTTTCCCTTCCCTGAAAGTTTTCCTCAAATTTACAAACTATATGTTTGAACAGTGTAGCACGTCTCCCAAGTAGTTCATGATCATTCTTGCCTAACTCTGTGGATGTGTCTGTCCCTTAGTTATAGCCATTTTTTTCAGACAGAAAACAAAACTCACTGACGACTGACTCAGCAGTATATTTAAATCATATATTTGTTGCCAAGAAGGTGATTACTACTGACTGGTGGAATTCAGATGTTAACACAATGAAGTATTTCATACATCTCTATAACCTGACAGCCATGCTCAATGCAAATATGCAAATAGTGCATGCAGCTTATTACTACCATTTGATAGAGGCTGTACATGATGGTAGGCAAACTTTAGGGCAGTAAAGCTGGGGTATGTAATTTCTGAACTTTGCATTAAAGGATACTGTGACAATTTCGTGTGCCCTTGCTTTATAGGAACACTGGATTTTGGTCTGCCTGTAGAGATCTTCAGCAATGAAGGTGTATAGGATACCTTAAATAGGCTTATTCTGTGTCTCACTGAAACTTTGTTTACACAATGTTTCTGTAGAGCTTTTAGCCCTTTCAGTATCAGCGCATTTCTAGTTATTTGTAGTTGAAGAATATGTGATGCTGTGGTAATATGTCTTTGGCGTCCCACAACAAGGTATATATGGCTTCACTTAGAGTGTGATCTTGCAAGTGAAAGGTCAGCTTATATAACTGATATCAGGACCCAATATCAAACTAATAGAAAGAATGAACTGTGACTCGCTGGTATTATTTGAGTGGGTGTTTTTTTTTTTTTTTCTGTTACTATATTTGACTTTTTTTTAGGTTTTTAAGCGTGTTTTTTGGTGGGGGGAAAAAAGATGTTCTGGCTGTCTAGCACCCCGCTAGTGACTAGTGCGGTCTTTGTTCAGGATATAAGAAATGCTGCTTCTTGCCTGGGAAAATTACTTAAAACATAATAGGATTTCTAAGTAGTATTTCTAATACTACTTTGTATTCCTAAATTGTCCGTTCCTTATAGTTTTGGTATTACTGACAAAAACTCAATTTAAATAAAACATCTATTTTGTATTAGGCTTTGAAATTGAAAACCACTGTGAAAGGGGATGCCCCTACTAACTTGGCAACCACAAGCCTTTGTAAAAAGGAGGTGAGTGTAACCATCTGTCTGACTAAGGAGAGTTATTAGAAACTGTGACGTTCTAAATGCAATTGAGTATGGCATTGCATATCAATTCCGTGTACTGTTTATTTACTTTTGTGATTAGGTGCTATTGCAGCAAAGATGTAATGTGTAGTGTCAGAGTGATTCTGCAGACAATATCCAATAAATAAAGGATGAACCTGAAGCTAGAAGCACTTCTCAAGTTAAGAAAGTCAAAACATTTTTATATCTGAGAATAGTTAATGAAAATTCCATATTTTTCCATATGCAATCATCTTTTAATGTCTCACCAAATTTTAAACAAAATGCAGTTATTGTTTTTATTTCCAATGTAGTGTCAGATTTTTCCAGGGCATAGGGAGTGGAAGATAGAAAACAACACTCTCCTATGTTCATCTTGTATACTGTAGCATCAGAAGTGCTTGTAGAATTTCAGAGACTTCAGCTAATATTTAATATTTGGAGGAGGGGGGAGCCTTGGGAGGTAAGTAGTGAGCTGAAAAATCAGGTGCATGGGTTTTGATTCCGGTATGCCAGAAATGTAGCTTAAATTTATTAGTCTTCTGAGCCAACTGATAGGGAGAATGTTTCCTCTATAAGGAAAAAAACGAAATTCTCATATCTCAAATTTGAAAAATATACTGTTGAGTCATGCATATTGCCAAAAATATCTACATGTTATTACTTGTCACTGCATATCACATTTCATGTCTTTGTGCTCTCTATTTCCTAGTGTACTTAATATGTATACCTTATGTTACTTTGTAGCCATGGGAGTCCCAGTCTTTCTGCAGCAATTTTCCTCATGAGGTTATCTGTGCGGATTCTTGGGGCCAATCCTTGCTAGTTTCTACAGATGCTGGCATCTTGTTAATAGATGGTTAGTAAATGATCCAGTGTTTTGATGTCAATTATTTATGTATCTGACCAAATTCTTGAAAATACATGTTCATAAGCTGTTCAGGTGTTGGTAGCTCTTCACTTATAAAGATAGTTACCAATCCAAGTGAATTTATTACATTTATGTAATCTAGTTGCAAAAATTTTCTCTGCACCAGAATCAAGCCATATCGAGGAACCAATTTTAATTCAGATTTCTAAATGCGTTGTTATTTCCAATGCTGTTTTATTGACTATCTGAAAAGACTTATGAAATCAAACACAAGCCAAAGGAGTGTCTACATGTTCTGCCTGGATTTCTCAGTCCTTGATTTTACTAGTTAGCATGAAGCCAAAGGCTTATGTGACAATGAAAGCCCGATTCTTCCGTAGCAGTGATTTTTCCTGGCTTGAGTCCTTATCCTTTGTGGGCCACATAAGGATTTGTGGGCCTAAGGGATAAAGTTAGTTCTCACTGATTATTCTCAAACTTCCCAAAGGAAATATCCCTTTTATGCTTCAGTCACGTAATCTGATCCATGGCAATGATGAAACTCTCCCTTAAAGAAATATCAACTGTGATACTATAGTATAGACAGCAGATTTATGCAGGTTGTCTCACTTTCACGAGAAAAGAACAAGGCTTTTATTACAAGAATGAAATAGTTCAAAACCACTGCCTAGCAAATTGTGGAATTTTAAAGAAAATGTATATTTCCTTTTTAGATGATCAACCTTCGGTACAAGTATTTGATAAAACTCTACAAATAAAGCAGATGGATGTGCTGGAAGCTCTGGATCTTTTAATTGCCAGAACAGACAAAGGTAGGGGGAGTCCCTGTTCCTTGATTCTAATATGAATGTTCTTGACTCTGCTGTTACTTAGCAGACACAACAGTAGAAGGGAATAGTTCAGCTGTGCTTCCTAGAGGAAGAAGTGGGAAAAAATGCTATTGGTTTTAATTCTTGCAGTACTAGATTTAAACAGTCATGTTTTGTCACATCACAGAGCTGTTACTGTTTTGTTGTTGTTAGGTTTTAGAGCTTC